ATTAAATTCTTGCAAAGGGCACTACATCTTTATGGGTGTCGAATTGATAAGAAATGGAAATTTTTGAGGACAAAATAAAAAAGAGAAGAAAAACAAAAAGAAGCTAATACACTCGAAATAATAATATTTAAAAATTGTCTAAAATTTAAAATTTATGGCACCATAGATCTAAATTTGTTGTGGGGTGACTTTCAAAATGAATCTACTCTGTATATTTATTCTAGACATTTTTTTGAATAATGTGTTTTTGAATGTATAATATTGTTGATAGATAAACCAATAAAATTAACTAATTTTGGAAAAAAAAAAATAAAAGAAAAGAAAAGAAAAACGGGGAACAATGATTTCTTGTGGGATGAGGCATGACACATAAAATCTTATAAATTACTAAGGGTGCTCGCGGTTTGGCGGTTCGGTTGCGGCTAAAGGAACCTCAAATCCGCCATCCGTCCGCCAAATTGGCGGATTGGAAAAAATCAATCCGCAACCGTCCGCTCGTCATCATGCATCCGTCCAAAATGTGGCGGATCGGTTCGGTTTGGTCGGTTTTGGCGGATCGATATATCCGCTGCTCACCCCTAATCAAATATTAGTGGAGTGAGAATAGTTCTTAGTAAATTCTTGCAAAGGGCACTACATCTTTGTGGGTGTAATGGAAATTTTTGAGGACAAAGTAAAAAAGAGAAGAAAAACAAAAAGAAGCTAATACACTCGAAATAACAATATTTAAAAATTGTCTAAAATTTAAAATTTATGGCATCATAGATCTAAATTTGTTGTGGGGTGACTTTCAAAATGAATCTACTCTGTATATTTATTCTAGACATTTTTTTGAATAATGTTTTTTTGAATGTATAATATTGTTGATAGATAAACCAATAAAATTAACTAATTTTGGAAAAAAAAAAATAAAAGAAAAGAAAAGAAAAACGGGGAACAATGATTTCTTGTGGGATGAGGCATGACAAAATATTGATAATCACAGCTCATCCTCCTCTTTAATAACAACTAGGAAGATTGATGACCTCCTTTTGTTTGGGTGAATAAGTCAATTTTTGATGGCCTCCTCACTCACACACAAATTCACTTTTTTGATAATTGAGAATAGAATACTACTAGGATGGTTCCACCACTTCAATCATGGTGGGTGGGCTTAACGCCAAGTTTGACATATTGTCAAAAAATAAAAAGTCAAAAAGTTAACCCAAACATCTATATTTTCTTCCTCAATTTTTTAGTCTAAAAAGACAAAAAGTACACTTATTTAAGACACCCCAAACAAGCCCTAAATGTGTTAAAGATCATATAATAGTCCACTGCCATCATCCCCCTCCCTCCCTCTCTCTCTCTCACATTCATGTGGTTAAAATTTTTAGCAAGGCAACATTTAACTAAACTTAAAATAATTTGAGAGAAGTTATGCACACTAACAATCATTATTAACACTTGTTTTTGGCCCAAAGAAAAGGCAATACAATGATGTTACACAAGTAGGTAGATAGTTTGATAGACAAGAAAAAGTATTTAGCAATTTTTGAATAGTGAAAACTGTTTGATAATTTGGGTGATTTGATGAATAAAAAAAATTAATAATTGTTAACAATTATTAGACGTGAATACCTTTTTTTTAAAAAAAAAAAGAAAAGAAAGAAGAACAATAACAACGTTCACACCATGAAGTGTACATTTTAGAAGCATACTAACTTGTCCAATTGTTATAGATCATGGGTGAGATAATTGAACACAACAATTTTTGTTAATTGATTCTATTTTTTAATCCTTAAAATAAGTGCTATGTAAAGATAAATATTTATTGTTTTTATTTTTAAAATTAAAATTATGTGACAAAATTCACATCAAGTTATTTTATATAATATAAAATATGGAATATATATATATATATATAAAGAGAGACAGAGAGAGGGAGAGTACCTGATGCACTCACGTCACGTGCTTCCTAATATTATATGTATCTCTATAAATATGATTAAAAATGAAGTTGCATGCACCTAATCTCATGCTCAGCGATCTTGAAATATTACTAATTTAATGCATTGGGAATGTGTCTCAGAGTCTTACTTTCAAAGTTACCTTTCCACTAAACAATTACTACAATGCATGTTCCTCTTTCATTATTTTAATTACATTTTTCCTTCAACAAGTTAGTATAACTTGTCATTTGTTCTTCAAATGGACAAAATTGCCCTCCCATGTGAATGTGATTCTTCCCACTCTACATAACAAGGTACAAGGAGTAAATGGGAAATGTAAATGCAAGTGCACAATGCAGAAAAATCTGCAGCATTGCATTTCCAATCCCCCTCCAAGAAAAAAAAACAAATTAAGAATTTAATCAAATAAATTATAAATTATTAATGCCTATATTGTGAATTTTCCCCACTAGATTCTTCTTTTTGCATAACTTTCCTGGAAAATACACGCCAACAAAGTCATATATATATATATATATATAGAAAACCAAGATCTCTTTTTCTTTGCTTCTCTAATGAAGAACTTTTAATTGGTTCGATTTGATAATTTGTATGGATAATTTTGATGTAATATTATATTACCATGATTATGAAGTAATATTACGATCATGTTTTATTTTCATGATCATGATCATGATTATGAGTAATGAGATCATGTTTTTTTTTCATGATCATGATTATGAAGTAATATTATGATCAACCACTACAAAACATGTTTTATTTTCATATATATATATATATATATTTTTTATAATGAGTAATGAGATGTATTAAATCAATAGAATAATGATATATAAAACGGTAGAATAATAGTGTTTGAGTTTCAATATCTAACAATCCAGTGACTGGTAGTTGGAAATTATAAGAATTTATCACTTTACACTAAGCATATACTTAAAACTTGAATGTGTGAAATTAATAAATAATGAAATGAACTCAATATGAAATAAAAAAAATTTAATACAAGTAAAACAATGAAGGCTCAAATGTTAGAAAAACATATATGCAAAGTAGGATATAACAAGCAATGATTTAACAAATATAAGTGTGTGATAATTGCTTAAATAATGAAAAACAAAACATAACAAAGTAATGATGCAAGATATGAACATACTGGTTTTGTAGTGGTTGAGTTTAAGCTAAACTGGCATCTACTTCAAAGATTTTTCCTTTGAGTGTTTCCATGTATTTCTCAAATAATTTTGCACCGACAAATTTTTTGAGTACTTATCAAACCTTTGTACCAAATGATTTTGTTCCAAAAAAACACTCAAACAAACTACCCAACAAACAACCATTATTTGTCCAAAATCAAAGCACCAAATGCCCGATCTTTTTCTACAAGTGTTTCTCACAACAGCTCAACAATAAATTCCAAGGGTTCAACAATCATTTTACAAATTAATGATGTGGAGAAGAAGAAGTGCAAGACTTCTAGTACAATAAAACTCTTAAATAATTTGATTTAAATGATGAAGCTCGTGTACGTAAAAAATAAAGAAAAAGTTAGGCAGTGTTTGGTGAAACTCTCAAATCATAATTTCACCCTTCCATTTGGATATAGTTTTGAAAATTTGATTCCACCATACATTTCAAAACATATTTCTGTTTCACATTTGGTATATCTCTCTCTTTCGTCTTCTCAATTTTGAAAAGTAGGAGAGTTGTTAAATTTTGTTTCTACCCGGTCATCCTCCCAGACGTCCAGCCGATTGACCGGAACAGTGTAATTTTTTTTTTTTTTTGGCAATTGCCAATCGCCACTTGTTATTTGGGAAAAAAAATTATATTTGTTTTTGATATTTTTTAAATATATAATTTATTTTTTTTACACCAAAATAACAAATTATTTTGTTGAGTTGAATGTTAAAAAGTGTTTGGTTATGAATTTTGAATAAAATTTGCAACAGAGTTTTGAGTTGTACGTTTATCTATGAGCTATAATTTTTTGAATTAAGTTCTGAAAATTCTTTTCAAAAGTCATAACTAAACAATTTTCTCAATTCATATGTCACATCAAAAATTCAATTCAAAACTTAATTAAAAAATCTTTTCAAAACTCATAACCAAACAAATTTTCTCTTTTCAAATCATAATTCCAAAACTCACAAACTCAAAACACAACTCTATTCTCAAATCATAATTCTAAAACTCTACTAAATGTAACCTTAGCATTTAGATTAGTGTGAATATATATATATATATATATATATTAGTGTTTTATCTTTATTTAATCATTAGACTATATTTAATACAAAAATAATTGTTCACTTTGTTAAATTTATATTTGAGTCGACTCATTTTGTCTTAAAATTGAATCATTTAATCTTAATTTGCTAAAAATTTTGTGTACTCATCACTTTTTGAGTCGACTCATTTTGTCTTAGAATTGACTCATCTAATCTGAATTTGCTAAAAATTTTGTGTACTCATCACTTTTTGAGTAGACTCATTTTGTCTTAGGATTGACTCATCAAATTTGAATTTGCTAAAAATTTTGTGTACTCACCACTTTTGACTTGACTCATCAAAGTCTACAACGGTTTGACTCAATTTTTTTTTTATCAACAAAAATAGAATTTATTAATAGTAATTGAACACTAATACAACTCAAACAACTGAATCAAAACATCATCCCAATTGATTGTAATTGAATGGAAACTTGAGATGACTTGTTCTACATTACTTATTTAACTTACAGAAAACTTAATTAATATATCTGAGAAGCTTTTCACCTAATATGAATTAATTTAAAGCATAATTTGTATAGGAAATGAACCATATGTATTGTAAAATAACCCCACCTTTGGACATGAGTAGGATTTTACTACGACATAACCTCTGGTGCTCTTGTCCATATTTTTTTGAAGAAAATAAATGGAAAGTGAGGGGGTATTTTAGACATTTGAGTACTAAAAAGATAAAGGGAAATAAATAAATAAATAAATATTGGGTTAGAGAAAGTGCCCGTTTGGTCATGATGGAGAGGTGTTGTGACAAGAATGTGTTATAAGACTTTGCCAGGCAGCTCCCATATCTCTCTCTCTCTCTCTCTGAAATTGTTATAAACTAGAGAGAGAGTGTGTGAGTTTGTGTATCTGTCTGCTTCTCTCTCAAACTCCATTTTCTTCTCATTATCTGTTTGTTTTTTTTTCTCTTGCTCTGTCCGTCCTCATATATTTTACTTGTTACTTAATTCATTTGAATTATTAGTATATAGTATACCTGAATAAATTATTATATAATAAACAAACAAACAAACAGCTTTTGTGCTGTTTCTACTCCTCCATCTGATACGCTCTGCTTTCGGTGAAGTTGAAGCTCCAAACCTCGTCGTTTTCCTCTGCTCTCTCTCTCTCTCTCGCGACCTTCGAGATTAATTTACCGCCCTCTTCTCTACAATCGTTTCTCTTCAAAGTGCATTACTCTCTCTCCTTCGGTTTCAACTTTCCCGCTCTGTTTCTCTCTCTGGAATGAAAATTTTCTCACTTTGGGGGGTCTGTGATCTTAACTCTAGAATTTTGTTTTCTCTTAATTTCTGTATGCTACCCCAGTTCTTTTTTTTAAACTAAAAATTTGATTGTTTTGTTATTGGTATATCTAACGGTATGAGTTTTTCTCGGGTATTTTCCAGGAAAGTGAAAGATGAATACAAGAGTCCGCACTACTCTTCAGTCCGTAAAAGCTTATTCGAATCCTCAAAAAGTGAGTTATTTTCTTTTTCCTTTTTAACTGTAATAATTTAAGGCTCTCAGAGAATGGGGGGAAAAAAAATCGAGATGAGCCACAAAGTGGTTAAATTTTTAGATTCTATTGCTTCATTTATTGTTCCTGTTTTATTCTTTTCAATTTGAATTATTATCTTTTCTAATTTTTAATGTGGCATTTGTAAATTTATTTATTAAAAAAAAGAAGTCCTTCTCCACTGAAAGTTGGCTACTTTTGATCCAAATCTGAATTGGGTTCTTCAAACCTATGAAGAAACGAATAATTTCCTTACTCCACACAATGTTTGTAGTATTTATATTTTAAAAACTTTACATTTGGGTTTTCATAGGAGAAGAAGATGGAATTGCAGGGAAGCACATCACAGGGAGCCCAGAAAGCACCGGTGAATCGGCGCCGATCCAACAGAGAAAGAAAATTGGCTTTACTTGAAGATGTATTCAAATTCTCTCTGCAAAACATTTGGGTTTCATTTCCATTGTTGGGTTGAGCACTTCTAGCTTCAGTTGAATTAACTAATCTGATTACCAATTCACAGGTTGATAAGCTCAAGAAGAAGCTCAGACATGAAGAGAATGTCCACAGAGCATTGGAAAGGGCTTTCAATAGACCTTTGGGAGCTCTACCTCGCCTCCCTCCTTATCTCCCTCCATATGTGAGCAATATATCTGCAATTCAACATTCACTTTATTAGATCTCTCAACTTTGTTTGTTGGAATTACCCAAAGGAATTCAACATTTTAATCTGCGTATCTTATTCTTAATTCTTGAAAATTCAACACAGATATGTGTGTCTGCTTATCTATTTGAACTTGTGTAGTTGACATTGATATGGGTTATAATGTGGAATGTGGAAATGCAGACGCTAGAGCTTCTCGCCGAAGTAGCTGTTTTGGAAGAGGAGGTTGTTCGGCTTGAAGAGCAGGTTGTTAATTTTAGGCAAGGCCTATATCATGAGGCGGTTTACATATCGTCCAAGAGGAATGCAGAGAATTCAATTGATTCATACGAACATTTATCAACTGAAAGTTCCAAACAGGTTGAATCAAAGTGTTTATCCCAACATGAATCGAATTCAGGATTATCCGTGTCACAGACTTCACCTTATCTTGCCAGAAGTGCTTCAAGAAGAAAGATATCGCCTTCTAAACCAATCTCTGATCGAATTGGTCATTGTTCTAATAGGCCAATCAATGGGAAACAAGCTCTAAAGAAACTCAATTCCTCTTTGGATGATGGGCGAGGAAAAGAGAATCGATCATGTTCTAATTCTGCGAAGGATAAACCATCTCCAGAAAAGAAAATACCCAGTTTGAAGAGACCTCCAATTAAGTCTGAATCGATGGAAAAGTGCATTGATCCTTCGAAGTTACAGGCATGTGTTGGATTGCTGTTTTAGATGAGAATGTCTTAATCTTTTGATTGTCACCTAATCTTGGTTATTATTCTACAGTTGGATTGCAGATTAGTAGACTGCGAACAAGCACAGGAGAGCTCTTCTGGTTCATCTGATGGTGGAGTGTTGGAGGCTGACAGCAACCCGCCAAACAAAATCTCTGAGGATGTTTTGAAGTGCTTGTCTAGCATCTTTCTAAGACTTAGCACACTGAAGCACAAGGCTGTTGAATCAAAGTCCATTCCTTCATCAGTGGTGCTTTCTAATGAAAACAATCAAGAAACCAAAATTTGGGATCCTTATGGTATCTGTTTAGAATTCAGAAATAGGGAAATCGGTCCTTATAAGCACTTATGTTCAATTGAAGCTGGTTTAATTGATCTGAACCGGAAAACAAATGCTTCGTTTTTGATCCACAGACTAAAGTAAGTTTAAGGTTGTTCTTTTATTCAATCTAGTTGATAAGTATATGCATTGATTGGGACTTACTAAATGGTGAATATTCAGGCTCCTGCTTGGTAAACTAGCCTCTGTTGACTTGGAGGGTCTTACCCATCAGCAGAAACTTGCATTTTGGATAAACACTTACAATTCCTGCATGATGAATGTAAGAGGTCTCTCTATCACAAATCACTTGAGTGTTTTCAAGATATGTGTAGAAATTTTCATGTAAATTTGAGCATTTTATGCCTCTGGAAAAAAATAAATTCTCTACTGTCATCAAATTCCAAAACTGAAGCAAGAGTAATATGTGTTTGTTATCAATGTTTCAGGCAATTCTAGAGCAGGGAATACCCGAGACTCCTGAAATGGTTGTTGCACTGATGCAAAAGGTAAGATCTCACCATTCTTGTCATTTACATTATACTAGTCATGCTTCACTGATTTCTGTTCTTTTTTTTTGGGGGGACATATAGCCTTAATCAAGTGTCGTGAATCAGCGTGAAATTTAGGATAATCCATCCCAGTCTTTGTTTTGTGTAGGAGCATAATGCATCTAGTGACATAAACATCAATAAGGACTTCATTCTGGATGTCACTGGCTACTTTGCAATCCTCCTAGCAATTCTTACTCGATCAATTTAAGCTGCTAATAAATTGTGGTCAGTTAGGATAGTCTCCAAACTTCCCGAGCATTTAGTGTACCCTAACAAAATCTTCAGAACAAGTGCATTCTCTTTTAGCTACTAGTACCATTAACATATTATTTTGAGTCAAAAACTGACTGAACCACGACTACATTATACTCAGGCAACGATATCTGTGGGCGGACATTTGCTAAATGCAATTACAATCGAGCATTTTATCTTGAGGCTGCCTTATCACTTGAAATTCGTAAGTGGCATAAATGTGACTTTTTGTTTTATTTATTTGTTTTGCATTATGCAGAAGCAGAAAAAAATCGTTAAAAGAGGATTCTGCTATTATTTGAAAATTGCTAATCCCCTTTTTTATTTCTCCATTTTCAATAGACTTGTCCAAAATTTGCCAGAAATGATGAAATGAAAGCACGCAGCATATTCGGATTGGAGTGGTCTGAACCCTTGGTTACTTTTGCACTCTCCTGTGGAAGTTGGTCCTCCCCAGCTGTAAGTTTTGTCACACAAACAGGATGAGTTTGATAAGTGACATAATTGAATTAGTTTTTCATGAGGGTGATGTGTAAAATTGAATAAAGAGTTCTGATTTTCCAATTACAGGTTTTGTGCTTCATTCTAAATAAAATATAAATAAGAGAGGGAGAAGTAGTTATTTTTTCCCCCCCAATTACAGAGTTCTGATTTCTTGAATACCAGCATGCCTGCATTGCAACTGTCCAAACAGCCTTAAATGATGGCATTATCTCTTCATTAGAACTGCTAATTGTTGATCTTCAACAGAAGATCAGATATGCTGCCTCAACCTTCCCTGAATTCTAAACCCCAGACACCCCTGACAGGCTCAATCCCCTTCCCTCCCCTTGTGGGAGTGAAAGGGTGATGCCATCAGCCCACGGCTCATTCTGCACTTTATTTTTTGTTATCACATGAAATCATTTATTCAACAAGTCATCATGTCTTGTTGGTAAATTTGGAAAAAAATACATAATTTTTGTATATCTACTGGTTTTGAGACAATTGGTTTGTCAAATGAAGGTGAGGGTGTACACTGCATCTCAAGTTGAGAACGAGTTAGAAGCCGCAAAGAGAGACTATTTGCAGGCAGCAGTAGGCATTTCGACAACAAACAAGTCTATAGTTATTCCTAAGCTGTTAGATTGGTATCTTCTTGACTTTGCCAAGGACTTAGAAGCACTGCTGGATTGGGTTTGCTTGCAGCTCCCCAACGAACTCAGGACTGAAGCAGTTAGATGCCTCGAGAGAAAGGGAAGAGAGCCTCTTTCACAGTTAGTACAAGTAATGCCGTATGATTTCAGCTTCAGGTACCTCATACACCGATAAAAAGATTGTGTTTTCTTCTATGGAGATTCAATCTGCATAGATCTAAGAACTAGGGATGACAGGTCTTTTGTACTGATGCATAAGATAACATAGAGTTGTATATGTAATCTAGTCGTTGCAAGAAACTGTGGGAGAGGCAGGGAGAGATTACTGTCCCTCCAAAATGGGTTTTGGTGTCTGGTCATTGGTTTATTCAAATTGGTTTTTATAGAAAGAGTACATGATAAATTGATATGGCAATTTCTTTGAATTACTTGTGTAAATTTTACTGTTCTTAATTTTTAGTCTTATTATTTTGCTCTCATGGTTTTATTTTTGGTCCGGGAGAGGTGGAAGGGAAAGGGTACCCAGGTTCAACCTCAGTTCATGCACCTGGCTGAAGTGGTGCATTGCGATAGGGGGGGGCGGATTCTGAAGGAAAATATTACCGAAAAATAATTGACATTACAAGCTTGAAAACCAAAAAACAGAGATTTTGTAAATAAAATTAAATGACTTCCAATATTTCCTAACTAGAATGAATTAATTTCCAATATTTCCTAACTAGAATTGTTTATTTCCTAACTAGAATTAATTAGTTTCCAATATTTCCTCCCTCAACTGAAACTAGACTCTCTTTGTAAATAAAATTTGGCTCACCAGAAATACAAAGATCCCTAGCTTGTTTGGTCACAGGGTTGTGCAAGAATGCACTTCCATCCCGTTCTAGAAATAGAAGTCCTGGGTTTCTTAGGATTAGAAGCTCATTGTCATTCCAGAAACCCAAGGAAGTATGTAAACCACGATCCGGTCCAACAGATAATTCAAGAGACCACGATTCGTCAACCTCGTAGTTCTTCATCACCCAAACTTCCAACCGCGAATGCCTTTCCTCAAAGAAAGAACAAATAATCGCGAGGGAGCCCTTTACCAATGTAAGGTTACATGTGAATTTTCCAAAGGTAGGTGCCATTACACGAGGGTAATCTTTTGGCAGCACTGTCACATTCAACACCTCCTCGCCAATGTCAAACGATACAACCACCTCATCAATAATGCCATTTTCAATGCTCCTATATAAGCACCAATGAAAAACACCATTGTTGTTGTTAGTGTTCTTGCTGACAATCATGTTAGGAGAAATTTGTATACCTTTGAGTTTGACAACATCAGAGAGGACTCTCTAAGAGTCAGAATTTAAATTGTACACTTCAACACAATTAACCCACCCTTCATCCCAGAAACGTACAGCTTTAACCACCTTGAAATTTCCAGTTTTCATATCGAAACCAAACCCTAGAATGCAATCATTCAGTCCCACTGGCTTATACGGTGGGAAATCAAAATTGGACATGGGAAGAACTCTGAATGCCCTGGTAGCAGGGTTCCATAGTGCAATGATTGGTAGACTACGAATTCTTGATTTAATAACGTTAGGTTTCCAGTAAACTCAAAATATACCGTGAATCGAGCCCAAAACTGAACCGGGTTTCCTTTTGAAACCAAATTTGAGATTCACAGGTTGCAAATTACGTATACAATTGGGGAATACATGAAAGTCATCAGAACCAACAATGAGACCTTTGGTGTTACCATTCCAGCTGATTGTTCTATCAGTATTGTTATTGAGATGTGCGGCGATTAAGCTAGGGTTTGTAGTGAGAGAGCACCATGTTTTGCAAACGCACTTGAATCGCATTAGGGATTTCACAGGCAATCTTGATAGGATTTCAATTACAAGTTCTTCAGAAAGATACCTACTTGCCATTGATTCGATTAACCCTTGATGATGGAACAGAGTGAGTCGTCGCACACCTGATTGTTGGGAGTTTTTTTTTTTTTTGAACCACCTGATTGTTGGGAGTTTGATTCCCTTTCTATAGTACAGAGAATTAGGACTTGGGATTTTTATTTAATATTTGTTTATTTTGCCACACTATTATGGCTCCGTTTGATATAACTGTTAAAAAAGCTTATAAATTATATCTTAACAGATTATAAATTATTACTTTAATCAGAAGTTATTAATCTGTTTAGTGTAGCTGTTGGATTATAGATTTAAGTTGCTGAGTAGTGTTTGTTAAATAAGTTGTGAAATAGCTTTTTCAATTAATTTTTATTTTTTGTTTGTCTACATTTCTCATAAAAAATAATAATAATAGTCTATAGTCCATTTGGGTCTTTTTCTATTTTTAAAAAATAAAAAAATAAAAAAATTTAAGAGTATAACCATTAATTAACATGTCCACAGTAGAAGCTGACAATCAGAAGTAAGGGGTGAGCAGCTTCTCAGAATTAGCTTTTTTGAGTTAAAATAAGCTGTTAGAATCAAAAGTTGTTTGAAATAAGTTTAACCAAACAGTCTAAAATATCTTTTTCAAAGCTAAAAGCCATAAGTTAGCTCTCTAAAGCTGAAACAAACACCGTAGTAGAAGAGTTACCTTATTACAATAGGCTATAGTGTTTTATTCTTTTAGGATTTGAGATGGTTATTTTAGTTTATAAACAATTCAATATATTAATAGATTAAGTTTGGAATTTATATTTTTTATTTAATTTGGTTTATTATCAAATTAATTAATTAATTATAATACATTAAAATATAGGAGTATATTTTTTTATTATGATTTAGATTTTATTTTTATTGAAACTCACATTTGTGGTGATTGTGTGATTGAATTTATTTAAAAAATCTTTCAATTTATACAAAAATTTTTAATTTATAATGATATCAGTATATTTATTTAAGAAATATAATGTATAACTGAATTTAATTATAGAATGTTTAAAATATTTTTTAAGATATAACTCAATGAGTGGACTTAAAATTTATAATTAGATTTTAGGTCGGGCTTAGAAAAATATAGAAGCCTGATATCAGTGTCGGGCCGAACTTAAACATATACTAAATTCCTTATTATGTAGTGTCTACCTAGCCTAATGAATGCCCACTCTTAGAGCTCACTGGCCCACAAGGGTTCGTTTGGAAAGTGGATTAATTTTTTGACTTTTTTACTATTTTAGTCTAGGGCTAAAAAGTCTTGTTTGAGAAGGGTTTTCTGACTTTTTGTGAGAGAAAAAAGATAATGATGATAGATTGTGATGGGTCGTTGAACACACCAAAATTAAACACTAAACTACACCAAAATTTTTTAGAATAATGGCAAGTCCAGGTTTCGATCTACAGGGATAATTGTGAAATTAAACTAATTTAATTGATAAATTTCTAAATTAATTTTGATGAAAAGAATGATTGATCATAACCTAATTTAATAACGAATAAATTAAACTAAATAATTAAATTATCAATTATAATTGAAAATGGATTTACTGAATTGGGAAAAAACCTAGCGCGAAGAGTTCACCACTAGTCACGTAAATAGGGTTTTCAAATTGAAAACAATTATGTTATGGTTCGAACAGAATAATGCTTCGTAACTACAAGTTCAAAGCATTTAACAAGAAAATCATTACGTTCAATGTACGAGCACGAACCATCTCAAGTAATACGAATCGTTCACTCTAAACTAAGGTAGTGATACGACTCGTCTCTCGTAGTATGATTCGTCTCATACTTTGAATGTGAAAAAATAGAAAACTCTTGTATGGAAAACATTCAACAATCGCAGAAAGCCGATTATTTGAAGAAATAATAGAAAATATATATATATGAAACTTCTAAAACACCGTACAAGTGTTGAAAATCCAAAAAGAAAAACCTATTACATGGCTAGAGTTTCATCAAAACCCTAGAAAATGAGACTAGCCACTCATGGAGAAGTGGAATGAGGTAGATGGAGAAGAAGTCACCATGGGAGACATGCTTGAAGCTTCAAGTTCCTCTTCTTTTCAAACCCTAGCCTTCCTTTCTTGACAAAACAACTTCAGAGCCCTAATCCAGCATTTTTCTTACCTATTTATACTTCTGGTGTCTTTCCAAACAGGTTTAAAACATCTGTCACATTTTTCTAGAAAAAGTCAACGCACGTGTCGAAAAGTCAACTCTCTGCAAATTCTATCTTTTTGCCCATTTTATGTTCTGACTATGTACAACCTGATTGACATTTAACAAACATAAAGTATACATTTTGACAAGCAAGTGAAGTTAAGAGATTCTAATTAACGGCCTCAATGATGTACAATTTGGTCTTAATCAGATTGGATGTTATGTTTTATCTTATTGAGTTAAAAAATCTATTTTATTTTTTTATGACTAATTTAACAAACAAACAAAAAAAAAGTCCAAAGTCCAACTTTCCAAACGTGCGCTAAATATTCTCTTATAATCACTTTATAACTACTTAAATTATAACTATCGGGTCAAGAGTAGACCCTATAAACTCCCAATTAGGAGTGGGCAACGGTTTATCCGAACCGCTCAAACCGCCTAACCCACCCAACCCGCATATAAATGGGCGGTTTCGCAGACATAATGCGGACGGATGCGGTTTAAAATATGACAAATTTGCGGGTTGCGGGCGGGTCGCGGGTTAAAACCGCAACCCGCAAAAACCGCCCGCACTTTAATTAGTATTATTATTATTATTTTTTATATACCAACTTTGTAACTTTAACAGGAGCACCATTATGTTCTCTATGACACTAGGATCCTTATTTTTAAGTATTTCTCAACTTTCTTAATGTCATAGAATTATCAAGTCCTAAACTTGGTTTCTTATATGATTTTCATTGATGACTCATCCACTTTTTCCTAATAAAATTTTTCTTCTGGTGATCGATGAAGCTTCTAGTTTGATTATTGATTACTGAATTGACAATTCTAATTGAGTACAACTTTTAATACATTGATATACATTTTTTTCATGACAAAAATGCTAGTGATATTAAATTTTTATTTGTAAACTCATCAGAAAATTGTTATCAAATGATCACAAATATATAAAATGAATCTAATGCTTAAATTCGATAGGAAAAAGAAAACTTAAAAATTAATTTTTAAAGAAAAAAGTGTAAACCGCAAACCGCCCGCAACCGCCCGCACATCTACAAACCCTATCAGCACAAACCGCAAACCGCACTGCGGGCGGTTGCGGGTTGACTTTTTCCTAAACCGCATAGATGCGGGCGGATCAAAACCGAACCGCAAACCGTACAAAACCGATCCGCGAACACCTCTACTCCCAACAACATTTCCACACAAGCTTCTGTCATGTAATGTAACTAGGAATGCAATGGCAAGAGAGGCTCCGTGAACTATAGGATTGGATTACTAATTTTATGACAATACATAAATATGTTTATGAAAACGGGAGATGTGAGATTGTTGATTCTATATTAGGAGATTGGAAGTACAAAGATTATTTTGTCTTCATTTTATTAAATACAATAAATCACCTTTATATAATAATTTTTTTAACGTAATTTTATAAATTTAATTCTAACCAATTAATTTCAATATATAAGTGTAATTTCTTCACTCTATCTCACAGTAATTATACCCAATTAATTTAATCCAACAATCAAACATAACCCCTTTCAACAATTAATTGAAGCATAAAGCAGATATAATGATATTCACAAATAGGACACAGACCCAAGATTGATTCACAATATTAAGCAATAAGTGAGATTGAAGGAACTAGCAGCAGAGCAGACAAAAATGACACATCATTTTGGATACCTTACTACTAAAGCATGTGGACTTGGTGATAATTTGATAAAGTTCTTGAATTCCAATCTTAGACTGTTATCAGTCTGTCTCATTCAAAAAAAAAACCACAAAGTATAGCAGTACTTTGATCCACAAAACCCTCATAGATTTTGGATAATATTATATTATATATAGTAGGCAAATAAAGACACCCATTTGAAGACACAAGTAGCTGACAAATTCAAGAAAGCCAAACCCTTTTATATACATCACATGGAATACCAGAGATCTAGCATCGATTGGTCCACTCTTTTATTTTGTGGCTCCATATGAGCCATGCAAAACAAAAGCTGTTGCTTACGCAGGTTGGGAAAAATACAGCCAAAATTCTGTAAAATTACTTCATGACACAGATTGGATCAACATACGTGTCTGCTCCCAATGCTTAACATTATTTGTCTGATTCCTGCAAAAATAGCACCTTTCCATATAGTAAATTATAAAACAGTTCGGACTGTCATATTATATTTTTGTCCCAATTATCATGGTCGATCATAAGATCGACCAACCTTTTCACCTTCTCTAGTAAGTTGACATCATGTTTGGAGTAATGATGAAATGGTGGGCAGTTTTCCAGCTCCACAAGTGCATTTGAGGAGAATAGGAAAATAAAAACTACATGGTACAACAGTAAAATTCAAACCCTAGTTGGATGTGAATCTGGCATTCGCTGATGAGTCGACCATGAACACTCGGAATGGTTTGAAACATCAAAAGGAATGGATTATTAGGGCCATGGATTCAATGGGTCCATCTGTAAACACGAATGCACAAGCGGATCGAATCAAATATTTATTTGACTAAGGTTGAAAAATCAATAGATTTGAGTTGCTAGTGCCAAAAATTAGTCGTTGTGAAACCAACCCATGACCTCAAAAAATTGGCCAGTAATTTTTACTGAAAATGACCAATGATGTTTTACTCAAATCTGTTCCATCATCGTATGCTAAATTCAAGCTTATAGACTACTTCAACACAAGCAGATTTCAGAGGGGCTTCATCTTTCACAATGGTTCTCATAACAAAATGTTCAGTAATTATTCCTGAAATTCACAATCCAAGTAATCTAGATATATAATATAGGATGAGAAATGACAACCTGAAATATGGATGAGTATATATAACAATGGTGAACAAATGGGCACGGGTGTAGCATTACAAAGTATCCAAATACACATGCACACAAAGCACATTGGAGAACAAAAATACACTCATCTACAAGACAAGAAAATTTTCCACTATATTCCAACCAGCACATCTATTTCCCTTCCTGTTGGCCATGAAGTGAGTAATTTTCTAAAAAAACAATGGCAAAGGCTTCCGGTAGGTAGAGAGGGAGATGGGGACTCTACAACACAAGGAACAAAACAAAATTATCAAGAAGTTAATTGAATTGGAGAAATGTGTAAATCAATTTTCAGCCGAATGGTGAAGGAACAGGTCCGGGTCCTGCAAGTGCATCCGATCTTTTGATGCTTCCCATACCACAGATAATGCAGCCAGGAGTCGAAAGAGCAGAGAATTTGGCCCCGCAGAGATCACAAACGTCGTATCCAATAGTTGACAGACGACTAAGTGTGGCCGCGCAGAACTGGGAGGGGTCTTCTAAAGGATCAATGAATTTGTTGGATGAACCTCGCTGAACACATATGTCAATCAGGCTTCTTAACTCATCTTGCTTGCTTGCAGGCGCTTTTGACAGGAGGAGCTCAAGCATCTGCTTCGCATATGCATAATTCTGCACCTCCATATTCCGTTTAATGGCCGTTCGAATGCAGTTTATTCGGTGTTTTGCTAGAAGAGGCAATGAACCCAGATGGCGTGACAGCCTCGCCATCTCATCTTTTGCGCTGATGGCACTAGGGCCTTGGACTTTCTGCAGTCTCCCGATTTCCTGTAGGGGAAAGTGACATACAGTCGTGAAAATCTAACAATCCATTGACATCGTAGAAACAAGAGATGCTATTTGAACCTCGAGTTGAAGCAGTACATCATTATAGAGAGATTATGGATATTGTTTTGCTCAAAACTTGTTGGTTTTCAGAATGTCATATATAGCCATTGAAATTGTAGTTGTCACTACTAGTCACGCATACTATTACTTCTTCCCATATTCACATATCAAGTGTGACTTGATGCATATGGTAGCAAAACTAACGAAGGTTGTAGGGTTCGTTGAAAGGAAAAGGCTTAAATTGATTGATTTCAAAAGTTCGAGTTTCTGAATTTTCTAAATTGGAATGATAAGAAGGCCTAGACTGGAAATTTTATGGGTTTAATTGTCAACTTGAAGGCTAGTGAGGAGCAAGGGTTTAGGGTTGGTTAGAGCTTAATTAAGAAGGATTTAGGGGTTGAAAACGGGAATGCTCTATGGCTTTGAAGTGTGAACAATAACCCGAAAATCATACTTGGGTATGAGCAGAGAAATAGAACAAAAATAGATGAGAGGAATGTGTATTTCAGCCACAAAAGGATTAGTAGCATTCACACAAAGGCAATCTCAGGGCTTGTTTGGTTTGTTTTTCAAAAAATATTTTGGAAAAAATTCTCCACAAACAAATTTTCAAGTGTAATCAAACCGAACAAATTTTTTCAAAAAAAATCTCAAAATTTTGTTTGCTTACCTACTTTCCAAAATCACTCTCTCTCTCATACACATCAAATCAATCACTTTTTTTAAAACTCTCTCCCCAAAACAATTTTTCAAAACCATTTCTGAAAAAGGGCAAACCAAACAAATTTTCGTACTTTTTATCTCAAAAATTACTCTACAAACACAAACCAAACACACCCTCAATTTCTGAGAGTATCAACTTCAATTTCGTTGTAATGGAACCATTACATAGATATTTACATAATGTTAGGCCTGACATAGATCACATATAAGATCAAAAAGAAATACTTGACCCATATTTTGAGCCATGGACCAAAACCACACCAACCTAGAATCTCACAAGGTCAGACAGTCTATCCCTGTACTTCTGCAGATCCTTGTCCCCAAGAATTAGGAGCAAGTTAAAATTAGTTGATACAAAGCATGGATAACAAGAATACCTGAAGGAGAGTAACTGCAATCTTATACTGAGCACAGATTGTTGCTTGAGCTCTAATGTCAGCTCCACGAGATCGGTCCTTGGCCAGTGCCAAAAAAGATTCATCAAAACAGGATAATGCATCTGGGAGTTGATTCTGCTCAAGGTGGGCAAGTCCAGTCTTAAAACAAATTGATGCAGCAGCCCCACGAGGAACCTGCAACGTGAATATCCCAACACAAAAAGGGAGAGTCAGATTAAATTAGATTTATGCATACCACTATCGTAAGCAGCCAATGGGCTAAATGGAAAGATACTACCAGAAATTCTGTTCTCTAGGTCCATCAGCTATACAGGCTATAGTTAATACATAAAATATTTTACCAAGGGCCTGTCAATCCATCCCCCCTCATGCCCAAACACCCCAACTGTATTTGGCAGGTAAATATAAACTTCTTTCCTTGTTCAGAGGGGCTTCATCTTAAGTATTCATAGAAAACACTAACACCTTCAAATTCACTAGAAGTTAAACAATGAAGCTCATGCAACATAAAAAGCATGGCAGTTGTCCCGCGTCCTCCCCTACAGGTGTGGAAGCAGTGACATTAAGCAATTGTTTATTGCAATTACCCCCTATCCTCTAATGTTGTTTTTCTCATTCAATGGTCTGAAAACAGTTCTTGGGATCACCCAACGTCTATCGTCAATTAAATTTCTCTTTCCCATTCATTTTTTACTTTAATAAAAGAAAGAAAAGGATGAGTCGGCTTAATAGAGAAAATGAGGAACAAATTTTCACACCCGCATATTATAGATCAATAGATTCAATACATGCTCAAGAATCATCATCACCATATATATATATAGAGAGAGAGAGAGAGCTCCCACTGGTGTAAGATACAAAATTTTCCATATGATGCTCTTAACCCCTCGATATCACCCAACCCAACATTAAGACATATGTAAAAACTCAGAATCTTTAATAAAAGAAATTAAGTATTTACAAATCATTGGATTAATGAGACACAGCATAAAAAGCAAGAGTGATTACTGAGATAGCTCAAATGACAAGAATGCAACAAAATGGTAAAACAACATAAAGAAGAATATATTCACCTGTCCAGGACGCACAGACTTTGGAGAAGCCGGACGTGCAGGAAGTTGCCCTGAATTTACAGAACCTGGAGGTTCAAGTGAGCTAAGATCAAGGGACTGAGTAGAAATTGGCACCTGAGCTGCCTGAACCTGAGACACTGGCAGGACATTGGGCTGCGCCACAGGTTGTGATGGTGGGACTCCACCATCTGGAAGTCCAAAGGACTCAAACGAAACAGGCTGTTGAGTGGCTTGAGGGGGTACACCAGTATCAGGTAGACCAACATCAGGTACAGGCACACCAACCTGGTTAGGTGCAACCTTGTTTCGTGCAACCCCTTGAGAATTCTGATCCATCCTTGAAAGGTAAGTCCCCGGAGGAGGCAATGATTGTGCAACCTGGAGGGATGATATTGTATTCTGGAAAAAGTCCTCTGGGATTGGCCTAGCTGCAACTCCAGCACCAATGCCACCAGGCTGTGACACAGGTGCAGGTTGAGATAACGAGTCAGTTCCAAAAGGATCAACAGGGACTGCTGGAGTTGTCACACTTCCAGTGGTTGCAGGAGCAAGTTGAGGGACAACCAGGCCAAAATCTTGAGATCCACCAGTCTTGGTCCTACTAATTGGTGGGCCCAGACCCTCACCAAGCTTAAACTGCTTTGTGGCTTCTTTGATCTTGTTCACATCCACAGTAGCAGATGAAATGGGTTTGTCTCGGATTCTAATGTGTATTTTCTTAGTTTTTGAAGCTCCCTCCTCATCACTGCTGCTACCATCAGCAGTGCCATACAGTGATTTCTTAAATTCTTCTTCGGCTTTTGCCTGTTCATCTGCAGCACTAGGACCTGCAAGTTGCTTAGTAAGGGTTTCTAGGCCCATCAAGGAATCACCCTTAGAATCACCCTCAGGCACCCCCTTGGACTTGCTCGATATGGAAGTACCAAGAAGTGCATGAAGGCCATTTGCCTTGACATCAGTACCTGCAGGCTTAAGTGCTTTGACCAAACTATCTTCCCTTACTTCTACAACATTACCTCTTCCTTTTACCAAGCCAAGATAAACACCAATATGGTCCGTCACAATGGATGGGATAGTACCATCATCTGTTTTCATGTATGGCATAACCTCCACTGCCAGGTCCCACTGTGGTATAGCTTTTAGGTTGGTGGGTGTCTTGATTTCCCAATTGCCCCCGCCCCATTCGGATCCTTTTGGAACCATGCTTTCAGCAGCAAAATTGGCAAAAATCCCTTGTGTCCATCCAGTGGAACGGACTCTTAATATCCTTTCACAATATCGCCTCAATTCTGAATCAGCACCCTCTTCCTCCAATTTCTGAGCAAGGCGCCGCATTGCACTAGGGTTAAGGTGGCAGATGAATAGGTCAAGCATGCTTTCATAATCTGCTATAACTTCAAAAGTTTCTTTTGCACTGTCAAATTGACCATACCTGCAATTTCATATTTTTTCGGTCATATGAGAGAATTCCAAAACAAAAGAACCATAAATTTGTCAAACATTGCTTATTAACACATTAATTATCAAAAAAGAGATCCATCAACCCAGCTGTGGTAAGGACCTCCATTTACTTCATAATTTCTGTACTAAAATAAATACTAGAAGATGGACAATCAACCAAAGCTTTACTACTAATAGTATACAACTACATGTAGATTCATTAATAGTTATACTAGAAGAAATAAACGACAAAGCCACAAAGCATTCTAATCCTAAAATTGTGAACAATAAAAATTGATGAATATGAATTATAAGCTGTTTTATGTACCATCAAACATCTAAATCCCAATGCACAAGAATATTCTAGGTTACTAGCCAGAAGAAGAAAAAAAAAATTCAGCCCTTTCCCAGTTGAAATAGCCAATTACATTCTGATCCCAACCATAACGATTTAGTTAGAAATATCAAGCCAAATCTCATTATGGATAGTTAAAAATTAAACATACAATTGCCATAACCTCAACTAGGCAGGGCATAGTATTACAATTAAAAAAATTAAATTAAAAGAAGACAAAAAAAATTGTGAAGGAAAAAAACTGATGGAACAGAATGATGAATACATACTTGATACAGGCATATCCCAATTGGCGAAACCGGTGAAACAAATGAGAGGTTGGAGGGCATTGTGGATAATCTCTAGAACGCAAAAACTCATCCTTTAAAACAGACAAAGCAGTAGAAAACCGGAGAGCATTGATTGCGTAGATTCCACGCAACACCTAAGTTTGGCCAAAACAAATTAAGGAAACTAGGATAGATGATTGATGAAATACATGATATAACAAATTATCCATAGATCACCTGAGTAAATTGTGGACCTGCTTGGGATAATGACACAGCAAGATCTCCACAAACTGGAGAACCTCTGGCAAGAATATCAAGAGATCGTGGTGTAATGCGCAAACTGTCAAACCTTCATTTGAAGAAATACACTTTGAGATGTCAGATGTTGCAAGCACTCACACTCGGACCAAGTTAATTTACCAAAATAGAAATGAAAAGGATAACAGAATCCAACAAGTGTTGAATATCCAAAGTAGTATATGTGACAAAACAAACATGCCTACTAGTAGAGGAAAGGAAAACCTGGATGTTATTTGATACAATATTTCTGACAAGTCTAGTTTCTGCTCAAAACTCTGTTGCATTGTGGCAAATCCAATAAGAAGAGGTTCGAGAAGCCCAACAAGACAGCTCTTTATCTCAACCCCCTTTTTTTGTTTCGGATTTATCTCTGTTGGGTTTGCGAGCAATAATCGATCATTCAATGCACCAACCAGCACTGTACAGAAGTTCATCTTGATGGCTCAGAAAAGTAGGGGTATAGTACAGAGTTGCAATTGTTGATATATAGATCAAACAAGAGTAAAGAAAATAACATGATGCTAAGTAACCTCAAATATGAAATTAAACATTTTAAGTAACTGAAACAACGTATGATACCTGCATTCGGCATACTAATGGAAAGAATTGTCCTCACTTTTCCATCCCACCCAAGCACGCTGATGGCAGTGGCAGTTGAAAACAGAAGTGCAGGTCCAACCCAGAGAAGGGATCTAAAGTAATCATAAGTTAAGGACCCAAACAATTTTAATAACTATTAATCATGTCATATAACAAAAAGTGTAACTATCAGAAAAGTAGCCAATATGCAATAAGTTTTCCATGTAAGGATATTGAAGGAAGTTCTTTATCAAATTTTGTAGAACAGCTAGCCAATATATCTAGATCTGCTGAAACAATTAGAACCCTTTGAGTTGTTAATACTCCTGCGACATAGCCTCGTAGAGTTTCTTGCCAGTGAACCTGGAAAAGAGAGTTAGAAGAAACAAGAAACAGTTTTCTAATTATTTGTACATTCAATTCCAAGGCAAAAATTAATAGAGAGAGAGAGAGAGAGAGAGAACAGCTGGTAGGAGTAGATCCACATGGATGGTCAATTAGTTGAAAGCTCACTTTCTGGTCAGTGATAACTAATTCATGGTATTTGGAAAGCTATATGACCAGCCATAGGAGCTATTTTATATTATTAGGAAACAAATTATAAGAAAAAAATTCTGAGTTCCCCATGCTAAAGTTACTAATATTCTGCAGCACAATGGTGCAGTTAGCAGTGTTAAAATTTGATATTTGTACAAGAATTAGATTTGGAATAGCAAAGCCCAAAAGGCCAACTCTGATCTGAGCTACATGGGACATATTTGATCTTTATTTTCCATTAGTGGGGAACATTATACTCGGCAAATCCACTGTATACAAAATTTCTTTAAAACTAGAAAGGAGAAGGAAGAGGAAGGGGAGCATCCTTTAAAGAACTTACGATTTAAGCAAAGAGCACAAATTATCTGACAGAAGACAGTGTCTACTAAAAGAAAGCAGACAGGACAGAAATGTAAAAACAGAAGAACAATTATGAAAGAAAAGTGATTACATCAAAATAATCTCTGCAACTTTTTCCTAATTCTAAGCCCTAGACAATGGACAACCCCACAATTATGGAACCTTTCAAACCTCATCCTATCCAACATGATAAAGATCATAAGCAACTTTCCTTTTTCTTTTTTACAAAAACCAATAGAATTTTTTGGAATATATTATTCCACAACAATCATTAAAAAACTCTTAATATCAAAGACATCATACTTATGTAGGAAGGTGTATGTGTAAGCATCCATGTTAGCTGGCCCTATTTCTGCAAGAATGCAAACAATGATTTGGAACTTCGCATGTGTGACCCATCTTCAGCATTACGGTGAAAGACAAGCCAAAAAAAAGAGGAAAAATTAATAAATAAAAAGAATGAAATAAGAAAATTAGTGCCTTACTATTTCTTATTGCTATTAGGGGAGATGGGAGGTCTCTGCTGAAATCAAGGCCCTAGTCAGTTGTTCAACAGTTCAAGAATGAGTTAAAAGTAATGAAACAAGGTAAAAAAATTACCTGGAGTACAATCTCATTTACTTTCAACTTTATTGATTTTTTCCCTTCACCCTTTGTTGATATATAATGACCATCAGAATTTGAAAGGCGGTAACCCTGACCAAGCTTTGCCAGGCCAATCTGGTCCCCATGAGAAGCAAACATCATAGTCGATTCTAAAATAAAGAAAACTTTGATCAGCATTTTATTAATAATCAATCACTAATATTAAACATCAAGATACTTTCTGTCCAAGCACCTATTGGAGTTGAAAAGATGCGATCAACTTCAGTTTCAAAAAGAAATGGCAGTGGTCCCTTCACTGAACCAACAGCAACATCTTTAGACTGACTTTGCTCATCTGCTTCACTCATCATATCAACCTCTTTTGAAGCCACTGCCGGAAGAATATATAAAGCAAGTCCAGTCTTGTCCTCGTCAAGAATTGCAAATTGATTATCATTTGGGCCAATAAATGCAGCGTCTCGACCTAGACAAGTCACAAAATGGATTAGAGTCAATATTTCATTCTCAGAAGCATTACATTAGTATATACCAGCAGAAGACACACACTTTAAATATATAGATCATACCCTTCACTGTACTTGCTTTACTATTAGCCGACTGAGAATCAGTGTTTTCCCTATAAAGAACTACTTCATTTGTAGCGCCACTGAACTCATAAACAACAAGAAACAGATGCTGCTTATTGCTGTAATGCAAGCATTTTGGATGGAATTCTACATTTCCAGGAATCTGAAAACAAAAAACAGATGTGCAAGATGTAAACCCATATATGATATTCAATACAGTCCTCAGAATTATTATTAGGAAGGAAAAACAGTTCAAATGTTACCGAGGTGTAAAGCTTCTTGTAAGTATTATCTGCTCCAGAACAGAGATTATACGCCATAAGGTTTACACCATCTGCATAAAAAGCCCTGACTGGGTAATGAAGAACACGATTCTCTTTATTGAAGAAATTTAGCTCCAGATGAAATGTCTGCAGATAAAGGCATTGGCAAAATCAAGTAAAAAAGCAATGAAAAAAATTGAAGTCAAAACAAATAAAGTTATCCAAAGAGTTACCTGGCACACAGGAATGTCTTTCAGATGATGTTTAGTATCTAAAATAGTGATGAGAGGTAAACGAGATATTGGAGCACTTTTGGCATGTTCTTCCATGAAATGCTGTAACAATCAGGCAAAGGTGACAAGACAAGAACAAGAGTGTTAAATTGGAGAACTATAGGGGTGTTCCAGATAATAACCAATAGAGGGAGATCCGCAGATTTGTTCAGCAGCAAGAATTTGTTCAATACTTGAGACCATTAAAACTCGGGTCACCCATAAGTAGAGTTAATCACTAAATATATGACGTTTAGCACAGATTTTTACATTGCATAAATTTCATGAGGTTTTGAAGTTTGGCTGCATGTCAAGCTTCAGTTACCTCCCAGATCTGAATGTAACTGAATATATGTACAAGTTCATTGGATACTTTATACATTTGGGAACAGCATAACCTTTGAAACCAAACGTAGAAGAAGAGAAGAAAGAAAGAATGACAATAAAATTTTAATGAGTGAAGGACAATTAAGAGCATTAAAATTGGCAGTTGATAATATTCACAATTAATAACATGCTAAACTGAATTAAAATCTAGGCTTACATGTGGGTCTGACATTCGTATGAATGCCCCCATGAAAATTTGGCTCAGGCACTGGTTAGTCAATAAACTTTCGCTTCCTTCTTAGTCTTCTACGTAGGATGTTTTTTACAGAGAAAAAATAGATTCAAGGCATAGGTGCTGGTTAGGTTTGTCATTAAAGAATATAATACAAGTACACCATCTATGTTGCTGCATATTACTTGCATGAACATTATATTAGGACAAGCTACCTAAACCAAAACAAGCTAAACCTCTTTGTCACTATTATCCTGAATGTTCTAGAAGAACATGACAAAGGAGAAGAAAATCAAGTGGGGTAAATTAGATTTCACTTTGGGTAGGTCCAAGTTGCACAAGACACCTTGTTAAGGTTTCCTATATCACAGTTTTTTTTCCTTCCTTTTTTATATAATTTCAAGATCTTCATGAGTGATATGGATATTATTTAATGCATCTTTAATAAAAAAAATTCTAAAGAGAAGAGTAGATGTTTAAAAAAGATAGTAACATACACTGTAAAGGAAAGCTTTTCGGGCAATGTCTGATATCGTAAGCTGACTTTGGCTGGCATGAAGGATAACAAAGTGTTACCAACAATATATGATCATCTCAATAACATGACAATAAAACAGATAATTACATGTGCAACAAGAGAAGAATTAAAAAAAGTAATATAACGTTGGGTGTGGGAAGAAAGAACCAAAAAAAAAAAAAAGATTTTCACAGTTGGAGTCATATAATCCATAGTTCTTTAGAAGCTACAAAACTAATCTTAACTCAATTAAACGAAGCATAAAAGCCCTACTACTGCAGAATCAGGTACATCAAACCTTATCAAACCCAGCAAGGAGTCCATATACTTTGAAATGAAGCATTCTTGCTGTAGATATTGCACAACATGAGCAACCTAAGGATTAATGACTTCAACCTTCAATTAATGAAGTCCTCCTCAATCATAGGTGGCAAACATTTAAGTGCAGTTCTGTTAAAATCCACCTACTCTCCACCTACTTCACCTACTTAACATACAATTTATTCTCTCTCTATTTCTCTTTATACATTAAATTTCTACAAGTTCTTTACACAAAACTTGGATAAACACAAAACAATTTCAAAGGCATTGAGATCATTAAGTAAAGGCTTCCAGATCACAGTAGATCATGAAAGTATACAGCAAGGATGGACATTGGTTTGTTAGAAAACAACAAAATAAGAGTGTTAACAACTTCAGTTTAATTTGAAGATACGAGGAAGCATTCCCTTCTTTACAATGAACCACAAATCATTAAATGGAAAGATTAGGTAACAACTTGGGACTGCAGAGTCCTTTATTGACAATATTCAAGATCATGCTAAAACAACCAACAACCTAGGTTTTTCTTTCTAACATATCTATCTATCTATCTATCTATCTATCTATATCTATATCTATCTATATTATTATAAAGTGAACACCTCTTATGGTGTCCTGAAGCTTTACTCTCCTCATGCCATGTGGCAGTATTTTTTATTTTTTAAAAAAAAGTTAAACAAAAAGATGGGCAAGGCTTGAACCCATGATCATGGGTTTAAGTACGAGGACTCATACTACTTAAGCTAAGTACACATTATAATATTAATTTCATTATTATTTTTTTTTATTCCTACTTATTTAAATTGCACACACATCATGTGTGCCACCCACTAGTATATATATATTTCTTCCTAAGAAGCAAAGAGAATACAGATTAAATAGTTTTGTCCCTCCAGGATAATTTTATCCTGAAAAGATTATAACAATTTTCTTTTGCTTAGTTGACAAATTATTTGTTCCTAACACAAAACAGTGTGTGTACGTGCACACAGATGCATGTGTATGCACAGAGAGAGAGAGAGAGAGAGATTCACCTACAAAACAACCTATTGAATGCCATCTTAATGCAAAACTATATGCAACTATTATAAAGCATTATCAAGATCTATGTAAAGAATATTTCTCCTGGTCAATCATCAGACTGCAAATGTTGATGAAGTAAAACTTTTCTGTTCACTATAGTTACTGGCAATAGATAGAATTTAGATAATAGTTCCAGATAAGATAATGAAACATAGAATAGAACCAAATCCCAAAACATTTTAATTCTTCGATCAATTAATTTCTTACAATCCAGAGTGCACTTCTCCAGGCTGTAATCAGTAGTTCCCTTTCTTTAAAGATAAATTAAATTAAAAACCGATCATATTCAACTTACCCTTTCAAATGGTGCTCTTGTAGTTGTGACTGAAGCTGATGATCAGCTAAAATTCCAGATGAACCAAGGGCCGAAAGCTTTTCCTTCAAAATAGAAGCTGCAAAGATCTCATGTTTAGCTTAATAAAGAGATTATCACAAGGCCCATCAATATTTCACTTCTGATTCTATACAAATTACACGGCTTTCTGCTACTCTCTTTTTTTTTGTCTTTATTGTATTTTTTTCTACAATCTACAATGTTCTTCATAAATTATTTGTTTGAAATTGATCCACCATTCCTTCGAGATTTGGATGCAGCACAATGAGAGCAAAGAGAAAGAAGATGAGAAGAAGAGAAATGGAGAGAAAGACAGAGAGCTTGCAGAGAGAAACCAGGGAAACAACCCCTATTCAATGTCTCAAATTCAATTCGTCAATATTCAAGCCATAGTCTCAAAAAAACCAATCACATATAGGCCTATTTATAGGCAATACTAAACCCTAATGAAAAGTTACCAAAAATTAGACATGACGACAATAATTAGATCCTAATTAATAAAACAGTGAATCCTAATTAATAAAACAGTGAATATCACTTTACCCTTCTCATTCATAAACCGTATATATTTTGACCCAACTATAAAATGTATCAATTTCACCCCTTCCAGACCCCATCTAGACCACCTCCAAAAGGGGTGTATTTGTCTGATTTTCATAGTTGAAGGGGTCAGTATGTACAGGTTCATAGATGAAGGGGGTAAAGTGATATTTGCTAATAATTGAGGGGTATTGGCAAGGTTTTAAAAAGCGGCCGCAACCGTTACGTAACACCATTACGTAACGGTTGTGGTAGTTACCGCCACCCGTTACGGCCGCTTTTGCAATGTGATTGCGATTCACAGGTGTATCGGCCGTAACGGCTGCTATAGCGGTCGTAACGGCCGTAAAGACCTGTTACGCACCATTACGTAACGGTTCCGAATTACTTCTTTCGAAAAAAAAAAAAATTGAAAATGGGGGAAGAGAGATAGAGAGAGGAGGGAAGATGGAGGAACAAGAGATAGAGAGAGAGAATAGGGAAGATGAAGAACATGTTATTGATTTGTTAAAGTTGTAAGACCTATGCTATTCTATTCAGCTGCTATCACTCAACCATTTTGTTTGTGTGTGTCTATCTATATATTGTTTGAAAATAATAATAATAATAAGTGTGGCCATTATCTATTTGGCTTGATTAATATATATATATATATATTTAGGATTTTATTTATTCTCTTACTTTTGTCATTATTTATCTTATATATAATAGTTAGTGATTGATTTTTTGTATAATACAAAGTCATTAATTATTAAAATAAAATTAAAAAACCCAGTTTATAGTGATTTAAAAATATGAAATATATTGGATCAAACTTAAAAATTTATAAAAATTGATCAATATTTATTTTAAAACCCAATAAATATGATCATGGGAACAAAATGTGCATATCAGTAAGTTTTTTTCAAATTGTGCGAAAAATAAAAAAAAAATCACGATTCCGGTTACCGCAACCGTTACGCTATGGCCTTTACACCCCGCAACCGCAATCGCGCCACCGTCACCGTTACGGCGACCGCAACCGCTTTTCAAAACCTTGGGTATTGGTGTATTTAACCCTAATAAAAAATACAAACATATCACTAATTTCTAAAATTTAAAGGAGAACGGATGAATAGATATAAATCAATATTAATTTTCTTTTTATCATTAAATTCCAAGTAATTTTGTCATTGTGTTTCATGTATGCCATGTATCTATGAGATGGACATGGGTGTCCCCCAAGTGTCTGAAGCATGTCAGGATACATTTGGACATGTGTCCTACATATGTCAAAAAAATGTACGAGTGTGTGTTCGAAGTGGACTTGTCACTTTTTAAAAGTGTTCGTATTTCTTAGGAAATAACTATAAAAGTGGTAGACTACATCTAAAACTATAAAAAGGTCTAACAAGGTGACGTCCAAGCAAATTGTACTTGGCACCCCTCCAGTAGAGAATTAATTTTCAAAACTATCCCTTGATTTCACACTATTAGATGCATTTCACTCTCATTTAAAAAGAGCAATGATATTGAAAAGTCAATAGTTTAGTGCCTTGAACTTTTTTATTAATGGACATCATTTTGGGACATCCCAAAATAGAATAGTGGACAAAATAGGGAACAGAGGGAGTAACATTTAGTTTGCAACAGCTACAAAGAAAGGCATGAGTAATGAAAGGTAGTATGCAAGGTAGCTTTTGAAATGATTTAGGGCTGTTTTGTAATAGACTAAAATAGCCAAAAATCCACTACAAAAAAGTAAGGGTAAATTATGCAAATGGTCCCTATAATTTAAATGATGTGTCAATTTGGTCCTTATTGTTTTAATTTGCTCAATTTTGTCCGTTAATTTAACGGATTGTGTCATATTGGTTCAACAAATAATAGCCATTAAGTTTGGTGAACGGAAATTCAAATGATCTGTCAATTTGGTCCTTGTAATTTGCACGATGCATCAGTTTGGTCCCTGTCAAAATCGAGCAAATTAAAATAATAGGGACCAAATTGATACATCGTGTAAACTATAAGGACCAAATTGACACATCATTTGAGCACGTAACAACTTTTCATCCACCAAACTTAACGGCCATTATTTATTGAACCAATATGACACAATCCGTTAAATTAAGGGGCAAAATCGAGCAAATTAAAACAACAAGAACCAAATTGACACATCGTGTAAATTACAGGGACCATTTGCATAATTTACCCAAAAAGTAATATCCCTTAGTCAAGCAAAACTGTATCCAATCACAAAACAAACAAGCAGGCTAGTCAAATGTAAGCTAACAATTTTTGTAAAATTGGTTTCGTAAATGCTCATCAAGACATGAATAAACAATAACCTGAAGATACCTTGCAGTTTGCAAAACCAAAAAGGGTTGCAAAGTTTAGTGACACAGATTGCCTAAATTCAAGTCAAGACATAAATAGACAATCACCTGATGATCCCCTTGCACTTTGCAAAACTGAAAAGAGTTGTTTCCTTCCTTCCCTAGTGTACGCAGCTCTATTTTTCCGATTATCTCCACCTGTCATATTCTGTTACAAAAAAGGTCCAATTACTCACCAAAAATCGACCAACTGGTGGGCATGGACAATGTAAATGGCCACACTTAACTACAAATAGCAATGCTGCTAAATTGAATTTTGAGTGAACTTCTATGGATTTGATTCGTGGGAGGGGATACACCGCCTCTCCGCCTTGCTGAGAAAGAATACGAGGGATATCAAGGGATTCAATTGCTGCAGAACAGAAAGTAAGAAATATCCATAAGTGCCTCATCCTTGCAGAATACAAGACAAAATGGAGGATATAACGCAACGAGAAACTCCAAAAATTATTTGTATACATAAAAAATGTTTAAACTGATCCAACTTCATTAACTAAGGTATTTATCAATTTACAAATGTGTAAATACAGTATAATTAGCCTCCTCTCTGCAAGGGAAAGAAGACAGCAATGTCCCAATTAATTGGAGAACGTATCACACAATTTATCATATCCATGTTACCTTGTCATTATTCTCAATTTATGTTTCTCTTTTATATAATGTAAAATGTTTATTTCATCATCTTCAGACAGTTTTGACAAACAAAAACTGAATCAAGCTTCATTACATCAAGCTGTGTTTTCATCCTCTAAAACTGACTACAAACGCTTCCTCAAATGTTCCACTTTCAGACTTTCATTTTTTATAATTTTGGGAAAGAAAAAAAAAAGTATGGCCAAAACTTAATCATGACTAATATATCAGATACTGCATGATCAACTAAAGGTTGCACTTAAATATCCATCTTATCATTATTGCCAATTAATGAAGCATTAAGTCAATGCCACAGTCAGATGGCAGTTGACAAATGGCATGGCATGTTGCAATAGCATTAGATTTATTTTCAGCGGGGTAAAAGCGCTGTTGATGTTTCTACAAATTTCTGGAAATAGCTGACCGGCTGGCATAAGTTACACAATTGCCAACATTTATAGCCAATTTGTTATTTGCCACCAAATATTTAACTTGGTTGCATTGCATGTCACCAGTATTGAAAACTTTTACTCCACCTTTTCTTCAAGAAACTCTACACCAGATTCATAAGGTACTTATTTTTTTCACAAAATCCTTAAAGGGGTGTTTGGGAAGCTAGCTTTTTGGCTAAAATAGACAAAAAGTCAAAACACCCAATAACATCACTCTATTTTATTGCATGTCTTTTCATAAAAAGCCAAAAAGCCAACTAAAATAACCAATTCCCAAACGAGCTCTAAGTCATGCCTTTGGCATCCCATTCCTAAAAAATCTCTAAACAATCTCCCAAATTTCAGAAATGCAATTCTCACAAAAAAAATATGTAATACAAAAGCAGCACCTATTGCCCATCACACACAATCCGAAGAATATCTTTAGACAATATGTATTGCTGAAGCATTCCTTTAATACAAACTGCCCGTACAAGTTTCAATTAATGCCTTGAATCACACCTAACAATCCAATTGTGCACACCATGCAAATAAGAAAGAACAACAGTTTTTAACAGTCTTGTAGTTCTATCATGATTAAAAGGTGTAAACCAAGAGACGTTTCATTATCCTAAGTTATAGAGAAGTCACCATACCTTCCTTATCCAAGTCCTCTTAAAAACACGCTTTAACTATGAGAGAATTAAAATTTGGAAAGCATGCACAGAAGAAATCAAAAGATTCAAAACTAATTTTTCAATGGCTAGAGATGATCACCAAAACACCGGTTGAGACTTGCTTCAGAAAACTGACAGGAGGTAAGCAGGATAATCTGATTGGACAGACTGAAACATAGAAACTCTAGGATAACAAGCCTATTTATGTGTTTTTCTTTTTGGTTCTTATGGAAAATCGAAAAAAATTATTTGCACAGATAAAACTAGAAAAGAAAGGAACTAGATTATGTTACATAAAAGATCTAGAACAAATGAAAAAAACCAAAAACAAAAACCAGAGGAAGGACAATAAGAAATAAGAACGACAAAGGTATACTCTCCAAAACATAATCCTCCCTGTGGGCAGTCATAGGTGATGTAGACCATGGGCCCTTCATGAAATCATGGCAGACTCTAAAATGTCATGAAACAACCAGAGGTGGAGAGGGCGAGGGCTAACGCAGCCTTGGAGTAGAGTGAAAATGAGGGAGGAGAGCCTCTAATCTGTGGAGGAGCTCCAAGTTCTGATGAGCTTCCTTGCTTATGGAGAAGCTTGATGAGCTTGTTGCATATGCAGGGGAAGAACTCCAATAAATTTTATAGAAAGTTGGGTGTGTGTGATAGACCTCCTATCTCATAGTAGGTGTGATACACCTTACGAGGTTCCAGTGGGGATGGTTGTAATACACTTTCCAAGGTATTATATGACTAGGTCAATCTTGGTCTTTGTGCAGAGGCCTTTCTCTAATGTCTGATACTGTTCAAAGTGACCCACCTTGAGGAGCTGAGCCAGGCAACTTTGGCAAGCCCTCAGCTCTAGCTGCCAATCCACAAATTCCTAGTGATCTTGTGTGGGATCAAGGGTTGCTCAAGCATCCCCATTGGCCATTACCGAGTGGGCGAGATGAGGCTAGTCAACATAGCATTAGGGTTCCATTTCAGAGTTGGAGCGATGGAAGGGTGAAGTGACTGCCGAGTGGGTGAGGTGACACGCATGGTGCTGAGCTGATTGTCGCAGAGCGGCAGTGGTGGGCACCAAGTGGGGTGCCAAGGCAAGTCCCACGTGATGAAAGTCATGCCTCGTGGGAAACAAGTACCCACATTCTCCAAAGAAAGCATCTCTCAGCCTGATCCCCTAAACTGACAAGTGTGTCTGCATTACTAAATATGTCATTGTCAACAATAGATTCTAAAATTACATAAGCTCAACCCACTCTAGAGTAGTATTCAGCATCTCAACCTAAGTATTGACCAATTATTATGTCAGCATTGCAAGTTTGTAACAACAGCACCACCAAAACAACAGAATGACATCAACAATATATTATAGAATGACAGAACTAAAAGAACAATCAACAGCAAATGATCAGTATAAAGAAAACAACATAAGAGTAGCCATCGCAAGTGTCACAGCACAAATTGAATGCATAAATTGTATCAGAATCATTATAATTCTAATGTTCAAGGCAGGAAGAATTGGATTCTTTACGCTTTACCAGCAGGCTCAAAAAAATTTGCTTGCATAGGAGGTCTATTAGGATTAAGTATCACTCTTGTTTTCCACACTTGAAGAGTTCCATCTTTGGATATAGTGACAAGTAACCGCAACTTTGACAGCCAAGCAACAGATGTGATTGGTTGGGAACCCACTTGGGTACTGGAATAGCAAAGAAAATGAACCCTCAGAACACAACAGCAAAGACATCAACTACAGTAAAAATATATTAATTATGAGATACATTTTTGGGGAGTTGGGGGGTGGGGATGAGAAACAGAGAAAAGCATTTACAAAGAGAAGTAAAAGTATTCCAGAACAAATGATGAAGTCATCTGAGAAATTGTAATCATAGCAGATGTAATGAATGTTATAGCCATGTAAGATGCCATTTAACCAAAGCCATGTATAAAAGTTAAGACCAACTGCGGCTCCAAGTATACCTACCAAGTTACAATACCAATTTTATCAAATATCAGAATCATTCCTAGGATCCACAATCATTGGATGAAATTTATTGCTTATCAAAGAAAAGAAATTTATTGCATATATCAGATTCAATTTCAGGAAACAGCAGTCAAAAAAGCTATTTCAAATAGCAATCCAATTTTAAATGTCCCAACCACTATAATAATTCCTAGTGCAACATGTCAGTTAGCTTTGGATAAGTGAACAGCATCCACAAGCATGCACTTAGCCTCTGTTTGGATTGAGGGGTTTGGTGAGAAAAGAAATGGAGAGAATGAGGTTTCTCATCACTTGTTTGGATGATTAATGAGGTGACTAATGGTGAGAAATGAAGAGAAATGGTAAGAAAGCCAAATCACACCAAACTTAAGTTTTGTTTCCCACCAAAAGTGATGAGATTTGGTGAGAAACCAAAATTACTCTTTTAATCGTAGTCCATCCAAACAAGAAGGTGAGAAACAACAATAATTTCTTTTCTCACCTAAGTGAGACACTCTAATAATTTCTTTCTTCTCTCATCTCTCAATCCAAATGGAGTGTTTATGTATTCGACATTGCTTTCTATAAGGGGAGTCATTTGAATCCCCCGAGTTATCTCTCCTATGAACATAACAGAAAATGTTTAATCCAAAAATTAGGAAAGATAAAACTCTAAATTATTAGCATGCCATTAAGAAATATCATCAGCATTACTTATAAAACTTACATCCCAATCATACTAGGTCTCTCAGTGGAGACATCCCAAGCCAGCAGCGTACCCCGTCTATCGCCAACAAAAATCCATTCCAAAGTTGGATGAAATGCAAATGCACCAGCACCAATGAGCTTAATGGTATTATCAACTGTAACATGCACCAAAGAGTAATGAAGTCCAGCCAAATTGAATTTGTTAACAAGGGATTCAAACTATCAAGAGACACAGAGATTTACTCCAATCTTACGTTGTAGTGTGTAATGAACAGCATATGTATGGATGTTGTAAGCTCGAATCAAACCATCTGCATAAGCGACATACTGAAACCAAAAACGAAAATAAAAACAAAAAACAAAAACAAAAACAAAAAAGCAAGTTGTTAATAGAATTCTAAAACACAAGAATAGAATGTTCTTTGCTTAAATTGACCATGTACTCGACTTGGTGAAAACCAGATGAAACTGTGAAAGTGTCCGAATCAAATTAAACATGTTACCAACACAGGCAGACGAGGATGGCAAGCAAGATTGACTATGGGTTTCTTCAGGTCTGTCTTTATTTTTGTTGGTGCCCTCCCCCCTTCAACAGTTCCAACAACTGCAAGCAGTTGAAAATGACAGATTTAAACTGCTACACATGATCAAACATTATAGACAACATATAGTAGCAATAACCTCTAAAAGCATAACAAATCAACTACAATTCTCCTATACCATTTAGGGCTCATTTTGATACGTTTTCTATAAGACAACAGAGACAAGAAGCAAAAAAAAGGGAAAGCTCCTACGAAATGGGAAGAAAATCACGTCAAGTAACAGGCCTGCATTTCTAATAAGCGTCTTATGAGATCATCGTTACCCTCCTGCATCACAATTGCCACCATACAACCACCACCACCACCAGAAGCAAATCATTTCTACCATCACCACAAGAGCAGTAATTTGCTAACCATCTTCATCCATGCACTGCAAGCACACTGCTGCTTCCATGGTCAACACACTTCATAGGACAAGCCACTGTAACACAGCCACTACGACCACCAGATCATCCATGTTACTTGTGATGAAGTGGATCAAACCAAATTTTCACAAGTTCATGCTTCTCTGTCACACTCAGATGAAATTCAAGCTTGGCTCAGACTCACAGCAAACCTAGCCAAATCTTTTTCAAACTCATCAATGTTCTAAAGCCCGGACCGTTGAGGAAATCGGAATAAGTTCCGTTGAGCAAACTCCCAATAGAATTTCTCACAAAAGGAGATCCTTGAAGACAGTTTCTAGTCAAAATAAAGAAAGAAACAAAAGACAAATTTAAAAAAGGAAAAAGTGAGAAGAAACAAAAAAGGAATTGTAACCTGTTTTTAAAATGATTAGATTATCCTATCCAATAGGATCTCTCCACAACATACTATTTGTCTTCAAATGTCCTAGAAATCATTCACCCCCATATAGTCAAAGTTAACAAAGCGCGCGACTAAAGAACTTTCCCTTTCTCTCCCCTAACAAAGCCTCCAAATGAAAAGGGATGAGTTTATTACATTAACCAAAAAAAGCCTCTGAAGAAAATCACCATAAGCAAGGACACTTCTTGGTAACACCCAAGATAGAATCCAAAAGTCTTTCCCATAAACTGTAACCAACCAAGCAAAACATTAATAAGGGATGAACTTGATTGCCATAGATCAACACCTAACACAATAGTTGAAAAAAGGCTCCTTGTCAAGCTTTATTAATTAAAGTATTTTGCAGTTATTAACCTTGTCACTTGCCACCAACCACACAAGAGGCCATCAATTTGGGACAAGCTCAACTTATTGCCTTGATGAATTAGGGTGAAGGAGCTCTATATTTACCATCAGCACTACCACCATTGTCATCGGTATAAAACCCACCTCCTTCAACTGCCGTAACACAGCCACATCATTGTCCACTATCAATTCACAAGAACCCTAAAAAAATACTAAATAAGAAAACCTCCATTCACTCCATTATTGTCACACCAGCTCCATTCTCTCCACTACTACCACCTAAGAAACACCGACACTTTTAAGAAGGTAGCATGTTGTGCCGATATTGGACACACATCCAAACCTGTCCTACTATTTTTATAAAATTTCTAAACTCAGACATGCTTCATACACTTGGGGAACACATGTCAATTGCTTAGACACACATAAAACACATTACAAGTTTGAATAAAATAACTTGGAATCCAATTTAAACATATTCTCCTCATTTAAACTTTAAAATTATTATCTTTGAATTAAATAATCATATACATAGCATATAATAATTGTTTATCCATATATATGCTATATAATAAATATATAAATTAAACTTTGTGTGTCTTCCACATGTCATGTCCTACATTTTAAAAAATTTCCCTATCAGTGTTTGTGCTTCTTCGACTACCACCTTCACCAAACATGTCTTTAGACATTTTTGTTATTTAAAGCATACCTTGACTACTTTTAGCAAATCTCTTATTGTCTTTCATGTCCACTAAAAGGGTTCATTACTTCTAAGCTTTTGACACTTCTACGTTTAAGTGGCTTCATGCCAAGATGATGGTGTTGCCATTGCATATCTATGCCAGTCTTTAGACAATGTTATAACATAGAAAACCATGAAATCAAAAGTTTCAATGAATTTGTGTTGTTCTTGTTTAATTTGTTTCCTTTTTTCAATTCTGTGAGGGGCAGTAACCAAAGTATCTTATCTGTATCAGGTTTTTTTCAAATGAAAACTACTGCAACAAGCATGTAGTTCCTGTTTTCTAGAACTGCAAACAAGCTTAAGAGAAATAGAAAAGGGAAAGAAAAGGAAGACAAACACATGCATAGAGAAGGGAGAAAAGTAAGTAGGCTGTCATATGAAAACAACAAACCTGTTACACTCATCCTTCGGTGGAAACCAAAAAAAACTATAGGTTGGAGAGGGGTCAAAGCAATATGGACTTCTGTGTCAGAAGAAATTTGTTCCATCCTCTTTTCAGGTGAATGCAACACAAATGTTTGCTCACTGTCAAAATCACAGGATCGAATTGTACAATCCTACAGAAAGGGAAACTGAATATCATAAATAAGAAAGAGGGTCACCATCAAACTGAAACCAAAAAACATAACATCAAGCAGAATTCTTCGAAAAAGGGACACAAGACAACTAAACAAATGCTCACAAAATTACCATATTGAATCATTGATAAGAGCAATGAACATAAAAGAATAGTGGATGCCATAATCTTTGACAAAAATCTTGAAATTCCACTGAATAAAACAGTGGCGACATTTATTGTTTAATTTATTTTATTCAGATTACTGTTGGGATAATTATTTATGATTTAGGTTATTGAAATTTCTAGTATACGGTGTGAGGGTTGTCCTCATCCACTTAACGGTCACATGCAAGTCACACGACCACTTAAGTGACTTGGTGGATGGAACAGGATCTCAACATGTAAGGCAAGGGAAATTAGGATTAAATCTCGGTTCTTATAACCTAGTTCAAAAACAAAAAAAAAAAATCGAAAATTTGAGGTTAGTAACGATTAGAGATAGAAGGAAAAAAAACTCTCCACAAGACTAAATTTTCTTCTATCAGTCTTTCGTTGCTTCTTCTCCTTCTCTAGATCTTCTATCTCTCTCATCACTTTTCTCTACCTCCTTTGATACTCCAATTTCTACTGGCTGTTCTCGAGTTCTTTATGTTCTCTTATTCTATTTATTCTTTCTCTGTTTCTTTCCCTTCTACTGAAATCCTCTCGCTTGGTTATGAAAGTAGGAAACTATGAAGCCTTCCATACAGTTTGCTGCATATCTCATTGGCTCACAAAAGCATGGCCATTACTTATATGGTGAGATTACTCCTTATACCAGCCTTTTCTAAATCTTCTTTCTCCAACCTTTTCCCATACCTAATCCCAAGTACCTTGATTCCCTGCTACTGTGTTTGCAATAGAATTAATGACAAACTTTTTGCAATGTAAAGAACTTGAATTGTGGCATTGAACGTATTTGAATTAAGGTTCATTAATTTGCCTGGCCTTCTATATTTGTTGAATGTGGGATGTTCAAGTTCCATTCTCGTAAAGGCCTCCATTCTTATTTTCTCAGCATACACTTGGTAAACCTAGGGCTGCAAAATTAAAAAACAAAAAAGGCATACGCTTTTTTTTTTTTTGGATAACCAGGTGTATGGGCCAACCTATGCGCACCTCGACTAATCCCAAGAGACCAATCCCACCGCCCACTTGTCGAGACCCCATTTAAAGCCAGGTGAACGCCCTATATAGACATGGCCCCAAGGAGCTTATTGCTGCTAGCGAGTATTGAACCTATGACCTGGAAGGAGTACACCCCCAGGCCCCAAGTTTTGCCCACTAGGCCAACCCCTTGAGGTTGGCATACGCATTAATTCATTCAAAAACATTTTATAAGAATGCTATTTCCCTATAATCAGCTCAACTATACAAACCCCATGCAAGGAATACAGAGCAAACACCAGTGTGCCTACCATGATTTATCATATTTGCAGAAGCAAAGAAACCCACTTTCTTTCTCACTCAGGTAGAGAGAGAGAGAGAGAGAAATCCAATGTGCCTACCATGGTTTTTGGGCCTTATTTACTATTAGCATCATCACATACGAAAAGCCAATGCTTTTTCAGTCTTCAATAGAACAAAGCTTAAGGAAAGCTATCATATAGCAGCTTCAAGGTTCCCTTTCTGCTCCTTTAGAAGAAAATCCAAAACCACAACACAGCCACCACTCAAACAAAAAAAAAAAAAAGAAGTTAATAAATAAATAAGACCCAAAAACCAATATTTCAATTATATACACCTTTTTAAATTAACACCAAAAGAACATAATGAAAGATTGTACATAAAACAACTTTAGGATAGTATTATTATCAGCAATTGAACTAGCCAAACAAAATTTTATTCCTCAAAATTGCATTATTTAAACTAAGACTTGCCTTATGGTTTGGAGAAAATCGAAATCCAATCAACAAAATGATTGTTCCTCACCTCAATGTGCAACAAAAGAAAGTAAATGTGAACACTAAATCCCACTAGTGATGCTCATCAGGATCTTAAACAACCACTGTAAATATTAGCCAAACAATCAAGGAGATATACCTTCATCCACCCCACTCTCTGACTAGTTAACCTTAACCACTGCCAAGTAAAAACACCAAGGCGCACTCTCATTCAAAATTCTAACCTCTTTTTTTTATTTTTTATTTACACTTTCTCCACATAAGTTAATTTGACCAAAACTCAAAACCAAAACTTGCAGAGTTCCTTTAATCCCAATATAGGGTATATAATATATTTATACCAAGAGCACATTGAACTGAAATACTCAAACAAATAAGATATGCTAAGAATACCATGAATAATGTTAGTAAAACTCCACAACATAGCAAAACATTGGACTGAAATTAGTTTATAATAATGATACTATAGTAATGTAAATCATATGGCAATGCAACGACAAACAAAAGAACAAATCATTTCATTGCAACAAGAAAAGCAACTAATAACGGAGACAAGAGTACTTCCTACTTCAACAATAAAGCTATTGTATTGCAAGTATATAAACAGCACTTGTAAAGGTAGACTAACCTCAAGTATAGCAATCAAAGCATGCCCACTCGTAGGACTATAAGACATTCGGACAACAGGTGCACCAATGTCTATTGAAGCGATCTTGCATCCAGTGTACGCATCGAATTCTGCACATACAAATATTCATCAACATCATATATCGCGATTCTATCAGTGATGACGATGAGATAAAAGAAAGAATTGTTTCAAATTGAAGGTTTTAGCAATACCAATGATGTAGGTTCCGATGGCGACGGTGACGAGAGCCTGAGTGGGGTGAAATGCGGCGGCGTGAGGCTGAAAGGGTTTCGAGCTACGGCCGACATGACGGAGATCCAGATGCTGCAGCGTCGCCCACTCCATCGATCGTCGTCAAAATTGACCTACAAATACTTTGACCTAATCAGAGATTGAGAGAATTTTCTTCAAATTGATTCAGATCAGAGACAAATCCACTAAAAGATCAATAGAGAAACAAAATGCCAAAAACTAGTTCAGATCAGATCCACCAAACTGTGATTGATTAAAGCAGATAGTGAAATTACCTTCAGAAAAAGTTGAGTGGAGGATTGAAGCTCATGTGAAGAAGTAACGAGATAGAGAGACGACTGAACCAATGGAGATCGGAGCAACAGAGAAATTATGGAACGAACGAATGGAATCGGTTCGGTAGTAAATATTATTGAACCCGGTTGTAATTAAGGGTCGGGTACCAATAGCCAACTGCCAGCCTGTCCTGCCCATTTTCGCTAGGGCTGGCTGGCCCATAGATGAGGCCCATATAATGGAGTTGTGAATCTTCGGATTTTTTTAGAAAATAATAGGGACAATTAACACACACACAAAAAAAAAATTCAGGATTTGACCTTTACAACAAAATAAATTCTGAATTTTTAATTTTTTCAATTTAAATCTTACAATTTTGATTTTTTTTTAATCTAAATCATTTTACTATTTTTATTAACAAAAAATAATGAAAAAATAGTATTATAGTCATTGAACTCAATGAAAATGAGCATTTTTTAATGACTAAAATACTATTTTTCTTCGATTTTACTTAATGAATTATTTTTAGAATTTTTCTTGAAACAACTCACTTTTTAAAAAATATCAAAAGTTGTTTTCCAACTTGAATTAAGAGATAAATTAAAAGTCATTCATTGTATGTGGGTTTGAATTTTATTGGCCCTTGACTTGTGAATTTTTTGTTAAAGTTAGGCTCTATTAAGGGTGAGCAGATTATTTGGACTCATTTGGCAAATGACTCAGCCCATTTAAGAATCAGTCCATTGGTCTACAAAGCAGAAAATTATTGAATACTCTCAAGACTACTATATGATATTATTTATATGGAATTTTACATAAATAAAAAAAAAGAAAAATTATAATTTAGTGGTCTTTTGCAAATATATTTACAAATATATGAAAAAATTATAATTTAGTTATTAATTTTTATAATGTGTAAATATATGAAAAAATTATAATTTTAGTTATTAATTTTTATAAAGTTTATCACTCATGTGTAATTTTTTTTTTAAAAATAAAAAAAAAAGAAAAATTATAATTTAGTGATTTTTTGCAAATATATTTACAAATATATGAAAAAATTATAATTTAGTTATTAATTTTTATAATGTGTAAATATATGAAAAAATTATAATTTTAGTTATTAATTTTTATAAAGTTTATCACTCATGTGTAATTTTTTTTTTTTAAGGGAAATTTAGCCAAAATTTCTCCATTGGACCCTTGTTTAGTAAAAAAAACAATCTAATTTATTTTGCTTCATAAAAACCTAAGGATGAGGCACATAATTGAGTAAGGACAGAATAAAATTTCTTTTTTTTCCTTAGAGAATATTGCCCATGCATATATATATATATTTCACAGAACTCTTTAGAAGATGAACACTTTTTATTTTATTTTATACAAGTTTAAAAATATTGTGTATGTGTATTTTTGATTGGTCCATCTAGTATGTACTCTATTTTTTATAACAATAAAATATTATAGTGAACCAGAGTAACATGTTATTGTTTACGTCAATTTCGAAGGTATTTTTGTTTTTTTTTAAAAAAAATTTCATAGTCAACATGGATCTTGTTTAATGGATCTTGATGTGAGCATTCTAAAAATATTAATTTTATTAAAAATCGACATGTAGAACAAAAGTTATATAATTTTAAAGTTTAAAATATTAAATTACTAAGTATATTTTGGTAATACTGATATGTGTTGAACTTTTCAAAAAAAAAATTTATATTTATCCTTAATGCATTAAAGTTTTTCTATGCCATTGACCAAATCTCGCTTTTTTAAATTTGCACTAAATTATAAGTTTTCCAATAAAAAATACGATCGCGCTACGTAGCTCGAAAACGGGGAGCCCGAATGGCTCGATTTTTTTTTTTTTTTTGCAGAAGAAGAACGAAGATCTGGAAGAAGAAGGAAGAAAGGAGGAGGAGGAGGAAGAAGGGAGGGAGAAGGAGGAGGATGAGGACTGGAGGGGGCATAATATTCGGGAGAGGAGGAGGCGGAGGCGGAGCGACGGCGGTCGGAGGCTGCGGCGGGGCTGGGCTGGGCGACGATCGGCGAATCGGCAGCTGGGAGGGGTGACAATCGGCGGCTGGCTAGGGCGACGATCCTCTTCTCTCTCTCTCTCTTCCCCTCTGCTTCTCTCTTTCTCTCCCTCTGCTTCTCTCTGCGTCTTCTCCGGTGGCTGGGCGACGATCGTCTTCTCTCTCTCTCTCTCTCTTCCCCTCTGCTTCTCTCTTTCTCTCCCTCTCTCTCTGCTTCTCTCTTTCTCTCCCTCTCCCTCTGTTTCTCTTTTCCCCTCTACTTCAAAATCGAGCCATTCGGGGCAAATGTTTCGAGCTACGAAACATTTTCCTAAAAAATAATAACATACAATAAGTGAATCTCATTTGTCTATCAACTACCAAATAAAGATGAGTTTATGCCTCATGTAAAACAATTATGTTTTCATTATTTAAGTAAAAAAAGGTTTATTTATTTTTAGCTAAAAAAAAAAAAAAAGCTGTACTCAACTTTTCCAATAATAAAAATATTTTTTTTTAGCATTTACCAACCGTATATTTTTTTTAACAATAATTTTATCCTACAAAATGAAAGCGAAAGACTTGCTTAAAAACAATTGTGAAACAAATCTTAGATAGCATGAAAATCAAAAGATGTGAAACCATGTAACTTCTAGCGAGTGTACTATGAATTTTATAGATTTGGGGTGCTTGCCGCGCGCAGCAGGCATTGTTGTGCGGCTCTATGAACTTATTTCGAGGTTTGTTTTGATAATTCGAATTGTTCATATTTTAAAGTATATCGAGTAGAATATATCTGTAAAAAATTAAGTTAATTGAATCTCGTTAACCCTTTCATTTACTCACATTTGTATTCATTTTAATGCTTTAAATCATAATGTCATTTATTTTTAAAGATACAAATATGAGTGAATGAAGAGGTTAACGATATCCAATTAACTTAATTTTTAAAAGGTATGTTCTACTCGATGTAGTCTAAAATATGAATGGTTCAGATTATCAAAACGGACTCTAAAATAAGCTCATAGAACCGCACAACAGTGCCTACTGTGCTAGCAAGCACCCCAACTCCGAATTTTATACTATTGGGAAAACATATTGTATTAATTATTTTATTTTTTTTAGATAGACATTATAGATAATAGTTATATTCCAAAATTAAGAAAACAAAAATATTTGCAAGGCATTAAATTGTATTTTAACAAAGACAAAAGGGGCTTCGTAATGAGATACTCCCTTATCAAGCTTAGCACTTGATTTTAGTCTTCCTCTACAAGTGCAATTTTTCTTTTTTTATTATTTTCTACCAATTATGTTTAAAAATTAAAAAAAAAAAATAGGATCCCAACAAAATATAACGAAAACGACATCTCTTTTAAGTAATGAAATCGTAATTTAGCTAATACAATATATATGAAACTATAAACACAAACAGAAATAATGGCTTTGTTTGGAAGGTTTGTTATTTTAATTAGCTATTTAATTTTTTAAAATTATTTTAGCCTGACTAAAATAGTTGTATATGAGAAATTGGTTGGTTTTTTTTTTTTTTTGTAGTTAATTTGATGGTTGTGAAAGAAAAAATAAAATGATTATAGGTTAGATGTAATATTTTGTCATATTGACTATTTTAGTCTATTTTATCTTTTCGTGAACTATTTTAGCGCAATCTTTTTCCCAAATTAAACTGGTGTTTATATAAATTACAAAACAAATTGGTGCTTACTAGTTGAAAAATAAATAAATCATTCCTTATTAATGCCAATGAATCTAATGCAGTCTGTTCCAACAAAAGCTGTAAGACAAGAATGGAATCTTTGAACAATGCTTGTGAAGTTGTGATAGGCAGGAGAAAAAAAAACACTAGTAAATTCTTATGGAAAAGCTGTACCTGTCTTTGCATGAGAATTTTTTGGTCAGCCTTTTTTCCTTTTTCTTTTGTTTTTACCCTTTATTCTTTTTTCATTTGTGTGGTATAGCCCTAGACCATGAATTTTAGATAATGCTTTCAGACTAGAATCTTCAATTGTTTTTGAATCTTCAATTTGTTATAAATAATAAATAAATAAATAAAAAATAAGAGAAACGAAAATCAAATATAAATTAATTGGTATGTATCGGATGTGAAAAAAATTTATAGCTCATTTTCTTGCACTTGAAACGGGAAAAGAAAGACATATTAACAAACTTATTATGACCACCGTAAAAAAGTGCGATAAGGCCATTAATATTGGCAATACCATCAATTCCACCGCGATATACTCAGATTAATGATTGAGATCCTTATAAAAATTTCACCCCCACAACCTTCACATCATTTTATGTGAGAGAAAGAGAGCGAAAGAAAAAATACATATGAACCAATCACACATATTTAAAAGTCACGAGGGTTCGCAAATTAAGAATCCCAAGCTTTTTCCATATTAAAATCATGTAACAAACATAGGGGAGATCCCCCGTCCCAATATTTCTTCCTATTCCTTTTGTTTCAAATCTGACCCTGTCTCGTTTTTTTTTTTTAATTTTTTTTTTCATTAGAGAAAGTTAGTAGTTAATGTTAGAAAATTTATAAAGATAGTAGTGAATTGAAATAGATTTCTTTTGAATGAAAGGTGCAACCATCAATTGAATAAAATGATGCAATCCTTTCATGGTATCTCTTTATTTTAAAAGAATGGTCATGTTCCTTCTTCATGCCTTTTCTGTTCAAACTGAACAGGTACCAACAAGCCTATATAAATGCAACCCTCCGTTCCAATTTTTTAATTCCAAATTCCTCAAGTTCAAGCATTCTTCTTGTATTTTTCATCTGTGTAAGTCTGAATTTTATGAGTGCAAAATATAATTTTGGTTCGTTATACAATCAAAGAGTGTGCTCTCTTCGTTTGTGGTGATTGTTGTATCTTGAAGATAGGATGTCCATTGTTCTCAAGCACTATTGGAAAGGACGAAATTATGTCTTAAAGACACGATATTCAAACACTGGCCTCGATCACAAATTTGTTCATAAGCCATCTGCAGAAGTATTGTAAAGTTTAATTTTGTTTATATATATATATATACAGTAAACTTCACAATACTAGAATAATAAAACAATATAAAAATAAGTGTCCAATAATCTAGTATAC